TGTTTCTGTCTAATTTCATCACTCTGAAATGCTTTCACACAACTAAAGTTCCTCGAAAACATTCATACAGATGGTCAAATGCTTTAAAGAGGTCATATGATGTTGCTAAAAAGAACATTATTTTGTGTATTTGGTGTAATGAAATGTGTTTGAGGGAAAACACTGTGTAAAAATATTTTTTCTAAAGCTGTTTTAGAACAATATTACTTGAGATAAGCGCTATACAAATGCATTTCATTTCATTTATACTGTGAAAAATGCCCTTTTCACACCAAAAGTGAAACAAAAGAGCAAAAATAATTGATGATGAATGATCTATCAACAACATTCGAGCTTGTTTCCACCACAGAATAAAACATTTTAAAAGGTAATTGTGACTTTTTATATCTTACAATTGCAAGTTATATAAACTCATCATTTCAAGTTTATATCTCACAATTTTTTCTTACGATTTTGAGTTTTACATCTCGCAATTTTAACTTTTTTCTAGCAATTCTGAGTTTATATCTTGCAATTCTTACTTTTGTTTTCTCATGATTGCAGAAAAAAAGTCAGAATTAACCTTTATTGTTATTTATTTATTTCCTGTGGTGGAAACAAGTGAATTGAATGTTCAGGAGAGAAAAAAATTATAAACTAATTTACTATGGTAATCTTAATCGTTATTCAATTGTATTTTTTCAATCAAAATCTTCACAAAATGTGGCTAATATACACACTAGAGCTAACACTGCAAATCTGTTGATTTACACTCTCCAAATACCTTTAAAGCATGATTTCCCACTTGTATACTACCTTGAAGCAGGGGCGGATTGGCCATCTGGCAATTCTGGCAAATGCCAGAGGGGCCGGACCATTTTGTTTAATGTGGGCTGGTCAGATTTTTACTAAATATATATAAATAAAATTGTTTTTATGGGCCAACAGCGCATAGGACAGGTTTTTATCGCTTGCACGATTTCTCTATGGTTATAGTAATAATAATGTTAATAATAAATACATGTTAAGAATTTGGCCCAGTCCCCTGGTCCCGAGATGGGCCGACCGAACCGTTCAGTCAAAATCAAGCACGTCATCAGAGAGAGAGATTGCAACACAATCTAATTTTCAGTAAAAGCTAGATAATGGACCATAAAAAAGGAAAGGCGGTGCAGAAAAATGTTGAGAAAGGGAAAAAAAAGGGCTTAAGTCCGACGCTGCTAAATGCGTAAAATTAACCGAACTCTTTTCAAAAGGTTTAAATTCGGCTGCTGCAGCGGAGGACAGTTGGTGCCGCAGAGCTAAGAAGAAAACAGAAAATACAGCTAGCACAAGTCATTTTCACACTACTTCTGCCAGTTAGCTCCTGTGTTTTTTTTTTTTTACAGTAGCCTACATTGTATTAAACAGTTGTAAGCTTAAACAGTACATGTACATTTATTTTTCACCATCTGTACACAAATGTAAGTAGTGAATGTGTGTGTCCGGTGTGGCTACAGTGCCAGGGCTGAATTTTTGTCCCAGTCCGCCCCTGCCTTGAAGTCATGTCTTTTTATTTAGAATACTTGTATTTATTGTACTATATCTACTCTAGATGATCTGATCTGTAGTGACTATCTGCTGTTTCTGGATCATGAGGCAGGCACGTTTTGATCTGTTTCTGTCATCCTGATGCACTGCTCTGTGTTGCGGGGTTGAACAGTAGCTGTCGGTCTGTGGATGTAGGGCGGGTGGGGTGGAATCGGAGGACGGGTGGTGATCTGATTTGGGACGAGGCCAGGCAGGAGGATTTGTCGACTGTAGTTAGACTGTGATTATCTAAGCCTGAACGCACCACTGTTGTGAGCACGGTCTGCCATGCAGCTCGCATCTTTCTGATTTTCTCTCCGTGTACCAGTTGATATTTTTTGCTATGCGATATTTTTAATTGCTCAGAGGTTACTGTTTACATGCTTTCAAAGGTTTGGGGTTGGTACGATATTTTAAAAGATTTTTTAAGTCTCTTGTGCTCACCATGGCTGCATTTATTGGATAAAAAATGCACTAAAAACAGTGAAATATTTTAACAATTTAGAATAACTGTTTTCTACTGTAATATGTTTTCAAATATAATTTATTCCTGTGATCAGATCTGAATTTTCAGCATCATTACTCCAGTCTTCAGTGTCACATGATCCTTCAGAAATCATTCTAATATGCTGATTTGCTGCTCAAGAAACATTTCTAATTATTATTAATGTTTAAAACACTTGTGCTGCTTCTTATTTTTGTGGGAAAAAAATTACAAAAAATTATTTTTGTATTTTGTGGATAAAAAATTTTTTCAAGATTTTTCCGAAAAACAGCATATATTTGAAATAGAAATATTTTGTAACATTATAAATGTCTATACTGTTGCTTTTGACCAGTTGCATCCTTGCTGAATTAAAGTATTAATTTATTTGTAAAGAGACTTTAGTTCTTTCTTTTAATTATGAAACTTTGTTTCTTCTTGATTTTTTTATGGAGGAATAAAAATAAGCACACATCACTCATTCGCTATAAAATGAATGTGAATATCAGCTCAGATAATTTAATCATGGAGAAAATTGATCGAAGTCTTCATTTGTTCGCCATATAATTATATTGCTGTCTAGGAGAAACAGTTGAGATCTTTTTTGTCAGGAGTATTTTCACTGTACTGCATATGAGAGCGCACATACTGTAGTTTAACAGCGAGGGTTCAGTTTGGGTTTTCAGCGGCTTTGTTTTTTTTTCAATCAGGCATTGTCACTAAGCTACACCCGTTACATTACATAAGTCTGTAGGAAACACATGCACGCAGGCTGCAGAGTACAGGCGCGCTGTAATGCCTTTCCAATTAGATAATCGTGCAAATGTAAGAGGGACAGAGAACTGAGGATGAGAGAAGAAATGCACATGTTGACTGATCTGTTATAAAAGAGCCCTTCGTTTATCTGTTTTATTAGAGGTGTTTCAGGAACACCCTAGCAAATAGTTGTCATGCGTTCCTCTAGAGCCGATGCATGGCATTACTGTTGCAGATTTTAAGTGTGTTTTTAAACTGTATGTGTGTTTGCATGCTAGCGAGGGATGGAGAGAATTAGACCGAGAGTGTTTTGCACACTAATGCATTAATGCGTTTGTGTAACTAAATCTGTGTGTGTGTGTTATGCAAACCCGTTATAGTCTCTCTGTCAATTGCAAAAGTCATTGCCACAATGCTAATTCTGTTCTGAGTGGTTTCCAAGGCACTGCAATGTGGCTACTAAGATGTTCTTAGCATTTTTTTAGCATGTTAGGTGTTGCTATGCAGTTGCTAGAGTGTTCTGGATGGTTGCAAGGTCTTTGCATTCAAGGTATACAACCTTATTAATCAATAAACGCAATAAAGTACAAGCAATGTAAATACCTTTGGATAAATGGTTAAATGTAATGCATTACACATGATGAGGAATCGTTACGTCTGGAGTGTGAGTCATGCACTAAACTTCAATGCTTAGTCTGAGGAGAATGTCACTAAATATGAGGAAGAGTATTAGTGATGTTTGACTTAGCATGAGTAGAAATGTCAATTTTTTCCTACTGCTTGTGTGATTGATGTTTGTGTGGCAGCTAGTGGTGATGACTTCGCTGGAGGATGTCTGAACGTGAATGGGAAAATTGTGAACCATAAATTGTAACCATATTGCCGACTCCCTCAACCCACATAAAAAATGACATCATCACCTCATCTCATCTCCTCCTCTGCTTTGGAGTCGAATCTAGGCTCTCTCGCCCTGTTGCTGTGTGTTGGTGAAAAAGTTTCAAACTCCCTCCTCTCCTGTGGCCATCTCACACTTTCCATCTGTCTGGCCATAAATGATTCAAAGCTAACGCAGCCATCAGCAGCAGCTATTTAAGTTCGGTGTATGACTCAAGATAGACTGTGCATAAGCAGGGCTAAGTTTACCTACTCAACTCTTGATTTAATTTAGAGATCATGTGTGGTCAGCCAATGATTATAGCTAAATAATTGGATGTGTTCTTATTCCTGGTAGTTAACTATAAGCGTACTGACTTTAACTAACTTGCTTAGTACGATTCTCTTTAAACTGTTGCTCCACCATGACAGTAGCTGATCTGAAGTAGAAATGAGAATAGAAGACAGTTTATGCTAAACGTCTGCTATAGCGCCTCTTGTGGCAACACTGAGAATGCAACTCATGTAGTTCGTCTTTGTGCATTTGGCCTGATTTCACCCTACACAGATTCAACAACCTGAAAATATATTCAACTTAATGTTTTTTATTTTTTGCTGTCTACCATATTATTACCAATAACTGTTCACATCCTGTTCACATCTTTTTGATTTCTAAGTGCTTGGCAACTATTTTGGTTTGTTCTACTTCACATATGTTGCATTCTATTTAATTCAAAGTCATAATTTAACATTTTTAATTTGGAAAAGTGCAAAATAAAAAACAGCACTTGAAGTTGAACATTCAGCTTTGAAACTGTGGAAATCCCAAACTTTGCAGAATCTCAAACTAGTATTGCATAATATTGTTTATTGTTTATTATTGTTAATATCCAGAGTTGTCTTTATTAACAACTGAACACCTGCAAAGCCAATGCAGTTAGCAAACTATTGGCAGTTTTTTTATTATGCGTTGTTAAGTGTTGTATTTATGTAGTTTTCTGAGATATAAAGAAGGAATCCCAAATCTGACAGCAGCAGTGTTTTATTCAAATAGTAAGATCTGCCATAAGGACCATGACTTGTAATTCACATAATAACAGTTTTAAGCTTGATACGGTATTCATAGTTGATGGTGTGTTCAAATCAGATGCTGATTCTTTTTTTCCTTTTTTTATTCAAAATGAATAATTTATTTTCAAAAGCTTGCTCCTGTTTTTCATGAAGGTTACCAGGCTTGGTAACAGAAATCAAGATGTTGTTCATTAGTCACTGACTCTCACATTTGTTAATCTGCTCTGTCCTCTTTACACTTTCTAACTTCGCTCTTTTTGTCTTTCAGACTGCTCTGCGGAGGCGAAGCAGTAGAGAAACCTTCAAAGATAAGAAGTCTTTAACTCAGGTGTGTACAAAGAAACACAAAGATCAATTCACAAGCCTTATATACTGTTAAAAATAAAGGTCCTTTATTGACATCTGTGGTTCCATGAAGAAACTTTAACTTCAATGGAATCTTTGCACAAACCATACTTTATAGTTGAAAAAGTTTCTTTAGATTATTAAATTCTTCACATAAAATTGTTCTTTTAATAACTGTTCACTGAAAGGTTCTTTGGGGAATCCAAAATAGTTCTTCTCTGTCATGGCTTCAAACCCCCCCTTTGGAAACATTTATTTTTAAGAGTGCACAGAACATCACAATATGCTAAATGCACTACTTGTTGAGTATATAGACTACAGAACCTGTAGACTTCTTAAATGTTGTCCAGGCCGATTAATCTGTCACTATTTGCTGTTTCGAAATGAATGGTATTGCCTTTCATGTTCACTTATTTCTTTCTTTCCAGGAGGACAGTGCAGATCTGCGCTGTCAGCTACAGTTTGCCAAGGAGGAATCTGCTCTAATGCGTAAAAAGATGGCAAAACTTGGCCGCGAGAAGGATGAACTGGAACAAGAATTGCAGAAATATAAATCAGTATATGGAGACGTGGACAGTCCTTTGCCCCTGGCAGAGGTGACAGGTGGAGGCCCCCACACCTCCCGGGAAGCCGAATTAAGGTTACGGCTCAAACTGGTGGAAGAGGAAGCCAACATTCTGGGAAGGAAGATCGTAGAGTTGGAGGTGGAAAACCGTGGCCTCAGGGCGGAAAACGAAGACCTACGCTGCCAGTACGAGAGGGACTGCTTTGGGCGTGAACCCTTCTCAAGCGTCCCTACCTCACCGTTTGGTGGTGATGCCCTGGAATCTGCAAGTGAACTGCGGCGACACTTGCAGTTTGTGGAAGAGGAGGCAGAGCTGCTGCGGCGCTCCATCTCTGAGATTGAGGACCACAACAAGCAGCTGACGTCTGAGCTCAACCTCTTCAAATTTGGACCCAGCCAAGCCGACCGGGAGTCTGAGGGAGCTGAGGGTGGAAATGGTGGCACTCTCAAGCCTGGTAATGGAGGAGGTAATGGTTTCTCGGGAGCAGGGAGTGGTGCCCCACTGCAGGAGGAGCTGAAAGCCTCAAGACTCCAGATCAATGAGCTAAGTGGGAAGGTGATGAAGCTGCAGTACGAGAACCGGGTGTTAATATCAAATATGCAGCGCTGTGACTTGGCGGCACACTTGGGAATACGCACCAGTAGCCCACGGGATAGTGATGTGGATAGCGATGCCGGGCGAAGGGAACCAGATGAGGACGAGACGGCCAGACTTCTGCTGCTCCACCCCAAACGTGAGGGTCCTGTTGGTGGGGAGAGCGACTCCGATGACTTGTTTGAGAAAACGGCGACTTCTGGATTCGCCAGTGGCGAGAAACCTTCAGATCCCTGCGAACTGGGAGTGGCCGAGTTTGCCCAGCGGAGACGGGAAGACCGGGAGACGCTCCACAACGTCAGGCGTGAAGCTGAGATGCTTGGTAAAACGGTGGAGCGGGTCATCGCAGATACGGACAGTCTGATCCACGAAGGTCGTCTGGTTGTCCTGGGAGGGGACCTTCTTGCGGAAGGTTTGGAGTTCAGAGGCGATCGGGACTCTGCTGAATCTAAACCCGACTCTCAGGTGCTGGATACCATCAACACCCGCATGAGGGCTTTCCGAACGGAACTCCAGCAATTCATGGACAAGGTGGACCACCTAGGGGAGGGTCTAAGGGATCGCGTCGATGACCTTTCCCCCATGCCCAACCTCACTGAATCTAGCAGCTTCCTTTCCACGGTTACCTCCATGTCAAGGGACTCACCCATCGGGACACTGGGAAGGGATCTGGTGACAGACTTCCAGGTAGGTTATGTGTATCTTGACTCTTCATCTTTATTCAGTTTTTGCTGTCACATGCGATCACATGACATGGCAACTTCCTTTTTTCCTTTGCTGCTTCTTCATTTGAAATTCCTTTTTTGAGAATGCATACACCTTTATATTGATTCTGCATCTTCATGTATCATACATCGAAGGTCCTGAATGCACCATAAAGGAAGCTATTCAACTAATTTGGCTGGCATGACTCTTCATCTCAAACCAGAAACAACACCCAGATAAGAAGGGAAATATGTAGACTTGCTTGAGATATGGAGCTGTAGGCAGAGTATTTGACTAGCAAACTGGTTATGCAGTTGCCTTGTCCAACAGTGATATTTCTTATCTTTTTTTTGTTGTAAGTTATATGTGAAAAAAGATCCATGCGAAAGATTAATGGGAGTTCTGTGAGCAGAGTTACGTTCTGATAGACCTGCTCTGAGATTAATGAGATAATAAAACAGCAGGAGACACAAAAGGATACACAGAGTTGTGAAGATGTTTGGTGCTTTTTAATTCATTTTGACATTAATAACCTTCAGCATAAATGTAGGCAGTTGAACAAGTCTTCCAGACATCACAGAACAACACTTGCTCATCAATATTAACTGACCTCTCAGTTTTCTTTGAGAACACCATATTATTTGTGCTATTTTTGCTGTATGTACATGAATTGTATTCATTGATGAACTACCCAGATGACCTGCTGTACTGCATTTGCCAAAATGTGAACTATACGATAGGGCACACCCCCTGGAATACAATATCCCAGAATGCAATTCACATTTCCCTTACCCACACATAGGCACATACCAGCACGAGCGCTACCGAGCTCAGCCAAGATGCCCCTACCTCTCCTTTCCTAACAAAACCACCCTCGATGCTGCTCATAAACACCAAACACCTGCATCTGTACCTGCCCCATCCTCTTACCCACAACCCCCTTGTCTCGCACCTGGGGCAGGGAAGTGTTTAGGGGTATTTCCCGCATGGCTTCACAGAGCTATGTGTACTGTTTTGGTTGTCTATGATTTGAAGGGTCCAAAATTAACTGTGCCAGTAGTGGGTAAACTAAGAAATATTTCCCAGCCATAAAAGTGTATTTTACTGAAGCTTATTTCTTACCACAGAATAAAAATATGACAAGATAACTAACTGACTGTTTATCTCACCAATCTTTTATTCTCTTCTTACAGTTACGAGTTTATATCTGAAAATTCAGACTCTTTTTTTCAGAATTCTAAATTTGTATCTCACAATTCTGACTCTTTTTTTGCAATTCTAAGTTTACATCTTGCAATTCGGACTCTTTTTTTGGAATTCTGAATTAACATCTTGCAATTCTGACTCTCTTTTTTGGAATTCGGAGTTGACATCTTGCAATTCTGCCTTTTTTTGTTTTAAGTTTACATCTTGTAATTCAGATTTCATTTTATAAAATTTTTTAGTTCTGAGTTTACATCTCACAATTCAGATTTTTTTTTTTAATTCTACATTGACATCTCACAGTTCTGACTCTTTTTTGGAATTCTAAGTTTACACCTCTCAATTCTGACTCTTTTTTTGGAATTCTGAGTTTGCATCTCGCAATTCTGACACTTTTTTTGGAATTCTACATTGACATCTCGCAGTTCTGACTCTTTAGGAATTCTAAGTTTACATCTTGCAATTCTGACTCTTTTTGGAATTGTGAGTTAACATCTCAGAATTGCGAAATTCTGAGTTTCCTCAGAAATATACGAGAAAATTCAGAATTGTGAGTTAAAAAGTTGCAATTACTTTTATTTATTCCATGGCAGAAATAAGCTTTGATAGTATTTTGTATTGCTTAGTCAATATCAGTTATATTATTTTTATGCATATTTGTCACAAATAGCCCAAATGTAATTCGCAGCATCATATATGACATGAATACAAGCGCACAAACCAGCTGTAAGCGATTGACCAGGGCACATACGTGCATTTAGTTATAAATTGTGTGCCAACTCATTTTGTAATGCATCAATGCATGAAGTCTCTCGGGCATTGCTAGAAGCTAATAACACCCTCTGTGCAAATGCACAGCAGCAATCACATACTTGCTTAAAGTTAGTTTTTGGCCTTAAACTTCACTTTTAACAAAGACAGGAAGATCCTCATATTTTCATGTTTACATGTTGCACTTCTTAATTAGGTTATCGTAATTAAATTGATCTCGATTTAATTTTTATTTACTGGCACTTGTCAATTTTGGACCCGGCTGGTGTGGTATGATGCATACTAACATTAGTTAAAATGGCAGTAAAATGTGTTTGTCATCACCTGGGGTCTGGCCTTGAGCAAATCTAGTAGTTTATTTGCACAGTTAATGCTGATGCAACATATATGGAACATGCAGCCATTAATATGAGATATGGCAGACAAGAAGTGCTTATACTGTGTTTTTGTTTTCTGAGTAATCTCTAGAGGTTCTGTGTGACCCGTGAACATACTCTGAATACACTAAATGTTTGTTTCTCTATATATTTTTAAGTGACTCTGATGGGGTTGATCATTCTTAGGAATAATGCAGCTGTGTCTTTTAAAATGTGTTGGTGTCATATATGCTAAATAGTCTCGGAAAGCTGCCCTCCATAGAACTGCTTGTAGCTTATTTCCTGCTTTGTGCTTTGAAACTGCTGTATGATAACATGAGTCAACTTTCCAACTAATAACCTACATGCAAGCTTGTCGTATAAACTGAGCGTCTGCATGTGATTTGATATTTCAAATTGAAGTTCAATAATGTCTTAATTGCGCTCTGATTGGTTGATTAGCTCATCTGGCTCATGTTCAGTGGTGGAAGCCATCGGTTAAACTGGGCGGTTCTTTGCATTGGGTCACGTCACTTAAATCTAATCACTCTTCATCAAGCATGAAGTCACGCTTTTTCACCTCATATCTATGAACGGTGAGATGTCCCCCACCAGTTAATGATAACAGACCTGCTATACACTCATATAGGATGTTTATTCAAGAGCTTCAGCTCGTTGATATGCTGCTTTTCTTCGCATGGCTGAGCTTTGCTGCCGTCGTGCCGCATCCAAACCCTGTCAAAGTCCTACACACCTTGCAGATGCTTGTTCTGCCTCATCCAGAAGCCTTTAGCATTGTTCTATCACTGATCAGGAACCTAGAGTTATAATTAAACAATACATCAATGGTAATTATATAGTGTAATATAATATGTTTTGTATTCATTATCAGCTATAACATTGTATCTTTCTGTTGTGATGCCAAAAATACTTTTTGACAATTGAACATCATAATGAGATTTAAAGGTTTACTTTTCTAGTAGCTTGGCAAGCGTATTAATAAGCTAGCTAAAACCTTCATTTTAACCTATGATGTATGGAAGTGTGGTTCTCAAGTGGTTTTGCTTTCAGGACGAGGACTTAACATTCAACATCAAGTGACCAAAACTATGTGTACCTCAAAAAAAATTGTGGATCAAACATATTTATTAATTTGTATTTATATTAAAATATATTTATTTTATCAAACCCAATTTTGTTTTAATAAATAGTTTTAATGTAGTTAATTATTAAAATAATAAAAAATTTAAAACGTCACATAGCTAAATGTGTAAAGTTATGTAATTATTTAAATATAATTAATTATTTAACAATGTTTTTTGTTATTTTATATATTTATATTTATAATATTTTTATGTTAATATTGATAAATATAGTAATTAAAATGACATTTTAATTACATGTATTATTTTAATTATTAGCTTAAACATTTTCTTATTAGCTTATTAAATAGTAATATTAGTATTATTTTAAGTATTTAACTGTATAATGTATTTTTTATTTTCAATTATCTTTAATACTATTGATAAAGCTAATAATCGTAATTTTTTTTAGAAATGTATTATTGTAATTTCATGTATTATTTTAATTATTAGCTACATTAATATTGCAATTAATATTAGAATGAATCTAATAATAATCATTCATATAATATTTAGAAATGTATTATTTTAATTACATGTACTATTTTATTTATTAGCTTAATATAAGGTACTAATTAAAATAATTGTAATTAAAATGATAAAATAATATATAGTTAAATCATTAAAATAATGTAATTTTCATTGTCATTATTTCATTAAGAATTATTATATTAATATTAATTCAGCTATATATTACAATTGTATTAGTAAAACACCCCCCAAAAGTTCTTTAAGCCGGTGGACTGGTTTAAGCATTAGGGTTTTGACCTGGTCCTGGATTTGGCACGACACCATTAGCGTTTAGTCCCAGCTGTCAGTCACTGCACATTTTGGGTTATTGGTTATAAGACTCATGTATCCCCATCGCATGCGCTTCATAACCAGTGTTTTGCATTCTTTTTTTCCCCTTGGCCCTTCCCTTCTTCTCTCTTCGTCCCTCATTTCGTTCCCAGATGTTTCAGCCCATGATTCTGTTCCTCCTCATTCTCGTTCTCTTCTCGTCTATCTCCTACGCCATCATCTTTAAGTTGGTCTTTCTTTTTGCGCTTTTCTTTGTCTTGTAGCCCGCTGGCTCTCTCTTTCTTTCTGTTTTCTATTCGATCATTGTTTTGTAATTCATAATCATTTTTTGAATACAATGTGTGTCGATGACCCCTCACCTTTGCATTTCACACTCTGAGTTTCGCTTAAACCCACGTTCAGTTTTATTTTTCCCCTCCACTCTTTTTTCTGTATTCTGTTTGTCGTTCACGATCCCCATGCACCTCCCTCTGTCTCCACCTCCCCGACCCTTTCCTCCCCTCCTCACTCACAGTACGGGCGCAGGGAGGAGCAGGAGTGGTGCCTAGACCGCCAGAGTGTCCCGGAGGCCCCTGGACAGGGACAGGGCGCCGCTAAGGGCTCCGTCACAGCCAGGGGAGGCCCTGGACTCAGTAGATACACCAGGCCCCACAGTTTCAGACCCGAGGTCAGTGCCTCGTCCATCTCCCTCTCAACTTTAAGACAGATATGTTTCCAAGTGTCTTTGCAGTGCCTCTGACTTCCTGAAACACCTGACAGTTTAATGTGGTGCACAGTAAGATAGTAAGATGGTCAAAACTGAACGGATTTTCCCATGCACTACCAAAACTGCATGTTTCTGTAAAGCCTTGGTTATCTTGGGACGTCGTCACACGAAAGTAGCTGGAACAGTACTAGGGGTGAGTTATTCTCAAGAAAGCGCCGCAGTTTCAGAAAAGTGTTGTTTTCCCATTTAAAATGTAACCATATCACATGAAAAGCCACCGCTGTCAAAGCTATCCAGAGATAACCAAGGCTGTGATCCTCTTTTTAACATTAAAACAGATGTTTCGGTGGTGTATGGAAAACTAGAGAGCTGGAGTGCCTTTCCTTGTGAAAATGTACAGTACAGATCAAAACTCGCACACTGGTTTAATGACAAAGCTTTCCGTCCTGAAACAGGAATGACCTCGCTGTGTTCAGACGTGCCAGATTTTAAAGGGGTCATGAACTGCCTTTTTTATTATTTTGTACTGTTCTCTGAGGTCCACTTACAATGTTACCAATTTTTTTTTACATCAAAAAACATCATAATTCAGAAGTAATAGGCTATTTTCTGTCCTGTTTTGACCCCCTCTTCAGAACGCTCTGTGGTGGATTGTCGACTCAGAAGTAAACGCCCACTGCTGTGATTGGCTAACAGTTTTGTATGTTTGACTGCTGTATCCTTCACAGATGATTTAGGTTAAAAATGCATAAATACTCAGTACATATCAAAAGATCTGTTATAACAGACAAAGCAGTAGTGAGCAGCACGCAATAAAAACAGTTCCTCACACTCGTGTGGTGCGACATTACTGTCAGATCTGATATATTCAGCACAGCATCGTCTTTTAGTTTCAATCTTTCGAAAAAATCCTGAATCGAATTGTGCCTTGTTTGTAAACGATTCCGCGGTGAAATGAAGCGAATAAAGGACCAAGTTCTTGCTGACGCAGTCTGGAACTTCGTTAAAAAATAAACTTCATCCACTCTTTCCTAATGTTGGGATCAGAAGGAAGGCGATGGAGAGACTGTGTTTTTCCACATTTTGGCACTGAACAGCGTCTTGTTGTCTTCTGAGCATCCTTATCGTTTGGTTTCTGCGTAGACCTGCGTTTGTCTCTCTCATTATTTACACTACAGGCATGAATCGGTGGGCGGAGCTAAACAGATAGTGATGTAGAATCGGTGGGCGGGGCTAAACAGATAGTGATGTAGAATCGGTGGGCGGGGCTAAACAGACGGTGATGTAGAATCAGTGGGCGGGGCTAAACAGGCGGTGATGTAGAATCGGTGGGAGGGCTAAACAGACAGTGATGTAAAATCGATGGGAGGGGCTAAACAGGCAGTGATGTAGAATTGGTGGGTGGGGCTAAACAGACGGAGATGTAGAATCGGTGGGCGGGGCTAAACAGACGGAGATGTAGAATCGGTGGGCGGGGCTAAACAGACGGAGATGTAGAATCGGTGGGCGGGGCTAAACAGACGGAGATGTAGAATCGGTGGGCGGGGCTAAACAGACGGAGATGTAGAATCGGTGGGCGGGGCTAAACAGACGGAGATGTAGAATCGGTGGGCGGGGCTAAACAGACGGTGATGTAGAAGCAGGCATTGATGATCTTCTGCGGAGGCGGGGTTTAGCCACACTATTATGTCATAAAGCGACACATTCCACAACCTGTCGTTTTGGCAGATTGGCTTCAACATAAGATGATTTTAGACTAAAGAGAAAGTTTTGAGTTCTGAAACTTACAGGATGATTTTATAGTACAGTGACCTATTATATTTCAAAAGATCAAGGGAATTTTGATTTCTCAGTTCATGACCCCTTTAAACATCTGAACCACAAAGGTTGTGTCTAAGCCTGAAGTATTTATGAATATGGTTCCAGATTTCAAAATGTCAATTTAAATGGATGTGACACTGCTGGTGTTTGAGCACAAAGGTAACAGTGTGTGAATACTGAGTCTCTGTCAGACAAATCTCCCTCCAGAACTACTATGTCTCTAGATCTGTTTCAAAACCTAGTGTGTGCTTTTAGGCATCATAGAGCACTTTCTAGTTGTGAAAGCTGGCCTAGACAATGATTAATGATTTAAGATGCCTCTTGGATATTTTATGGCAAATGCAATCCTACAATGCATTAAATATATAATTATTAAATTAAATTTGATAAAATGGCCTGTTGTACCCAATATGTATGATATTTTTAGAATTTTTTTTTGTATTTCGTCATTAACTTGAGTGTTTCAAATCCCTTATAAAATATGACATTTATGATGCTGCCTGTGAAGACAGAAAGGCTGCTCACTGGGTTTTGAAACAGAGCCTGTGTTTAGAAGGAAAGGAAAGCCTACGACACACTTTAGTATGAAGAGCAGTTCTCCCGAGCTTGTATGTATTTCTTTATTTAAATTAATAAAATGCAATAACTCTCTAATGTAGTAAAACCGAATGGAAGCCAGCCAAATGTCATAAAATAGCACTTCCAGTTATTTTACACCAGGTTATTAGACCAAAAACAGCAAGAGCATTGGTTCGTCTGATGCAACACAAGATCTAGCCGAGAGCAGTTTGTTCACTCGAATCATTTAATTCACATCATTGTCTCAGTGATTTTTTTGGTTTCTTCTCACTCCGCTCACAGTCACTACTGTTCATTTGAAATCACACTGGTTTGTCATGAATTACGATCACTCACCATCCTCTCACGCAGGGGCTTTGGAAAATGTGATGTTTCTGTTTAAAATAAGGGCTGTATGTGTGTTAATCATGACATCTGTATGTATATATTTATGTTTGCATTTAATTTGTTGTACGTCTATGTGTTTGTCCCAGTTTATGTGCTATTGCTGTACAGGCTAACCAAATCAGCTAAAAGACAGGTAGTCAAGCGTATTTAGCATCTTGCAATATGCAACAATGCACACTTACTTTACCTGCATCATGCTTCCTTCAAGTCCTGCTGGGTAGGTCCCTACTTTTCAGTCATTTTACAGTGATTTTGACTGGAACAAATGGACACTGGTAATTTCAAGTATTTTCTCACTTTTATCATCTAGATCAAATCAGTTTTAGCACAACCATAACAAAATAAAAAGTTTAGGATGTGCATTAGTTGTGCAACTGAAGCTGTGTATATTTTAGCTCGTAGCTGCAGAGGATGATGGGAAATGTAGTTTTGTAGCACAAGCCTGTCAACTCATAAACCACTTGTCAATCACAAAGTTTTATACTTGTTACCAGCCTAGGGGCTACAGGTATAAATTAGTAATGTTCCTGTTATCTTGCATGTTTATATTTAGCATTTTTTTATACTGATGTGCATTACAATCAAATAAATAAATAATAATAAAAACATTTCATAAAATTATTTTAAAATAATCATAAAATAATGATTAAATGTTTAAATCTAGTCTGCAGAATTGGACAGATTTCCCTCCAAAATCAGCACAGAAAATAATTTAAAAAAGAAACGGTCCATTTGGGCCTAATAATAACCAATATCAATTTAAAAATCCCTCAAAATTCAGGACTCGAAAACAAAAGCATTTTTAATTATGACCTGATGCTACTTCACATGCGCTCAATCATTAATGAAATGACTTGAAGGCAGCATATGCTTATTTTACAGCTTGAGATACCCATGCATATGAATCTTTATGATATTTGATAGTATATGATATATGAGTTGATATACAGTATGATATATGAGTTTTTGTTAATATTTAGATAATAATTCAATTTTATATTTATATTTTCTGTTTTTAATTTTAGTTTTAGTAAAAACAAAATAGTAATTTAGTTGTCTGTTTTTGTCTCTTTTTTAGTATGTCTATATAGTATTTGTTTATTAGTTTTACATATTTTAGTACTTCAGCTTAAACTAAGCAAAAATGAGAAATGTTGTCTTGGAAACGAAATCGTTTTATTTGATTTCAGATAATGAAAATATTATTCATGGTTTTAGTTTTAGTGTTAGTTAACAATAATAACTCTGATTCAACCTTACAATAAGATAATTGTTAGCACTTACAAACAGCAGCACATAAAGCATACACTCTAAAAAATGCTGGGTTAAAAAGGGACAAACCCAGCAATTGGGTTGTTTTGACCCAGCCGTTGGGTTGTTTTCACCCAGCGGTTGGGTTCAAAACAACCCTACCACTGGGTCAAAACAACCCAATTGCTGGGTTTGTCCCTTTTTAACCCAGCGCTGGGTTATATTTAACCTAGCATTTTTTAGAATGTAGCTTTAGTAGCCTATTTCTTCAGAGTAGAGATGAATCTAAATTGATTATGAGCTTATTTCATGGAGAATCTTCCTTTAGCTGACTGAATTAATCCTCTTGCATTTATCACCAGAGATCCAGAGAGTTTATTATAGGAAACTGTTCCATTAAGAATGCAACTTGGAATGCAGTTTAATATTGTCCTGCCTAACCATCCATGTAAAGGTAGCGAATCTAGAATGAGAAGATACTGAAAATGTCACCCCACATCTGCCTTGCCACACGATACAGGCGTGTTTATGCATGAAAACTGATGGTGTTTCTCTCGAAAGTGCTGGGATTTTGAGACTGGTGTTCTGTGTTCTGATGGGGTCCAGTTCCGTGACCCGGTCCTGCCCGAGATGGGAACGCCTACCAGAGAAATACAGCTCCGCCTGGAGCATGACAAGAGGATGAGAGCTGGAGCGGAGGAGAAAGATAGCTTCACATCACCCATCACTCAGGTACCTGCTGTTTTGCATCATGCATTACTGAACTGAACCAAAGCTGAACTGACTTGAGCTCTATCTTCTCTAGAGCTGCTTTACAGCTGAAATTGTATTTATCTCATAATTGAAGAAATTTGCAACATTAAAAATCACAGTGAAGCTGCTTTGAAACAATCTGTAATTGTAAAAAGCGCTATTGAAATAAATGTGACTTAACATGGTTTACTTTTAGAAACAGGATCAGACCTACAAGTCATCGATTCAAAGACTCCTCACATATAAAACTGATGTGAAAATAGTAGTTTGCCATGGATAGATAGACAATATATCAAGAGTACAGCACTACAGACCCAAAACATAGACTAGAAGTACAGTATAACTTGTTGACTAGTCTGTGTATCCACATACCAGTCATACCAGCCTAACCATGTAAAGCCCGACATGTGAAATAATAGTCAAAAAAAATTTTTTTTTTTATGGAACAGTTTATTGAACCTTCTTTTTTGGGGGGAAAAAATAAAAGAAAAAAAGTTTGCATATGTTTTTGTTGAGTATCCTATTTGATATATCAGGCTTTTATGGTTCATATAGTTTGATATATTGAGAATATGGAGGAAAACCAGCTCAGTTTTATTCCGAGGCCCAAATTGAGCAAAAATATGCAATTTAGTGCAGATCCTGATATTTATATAGCTAAATGACGAAATTCTGATGCTTGTAATGTAAATCAATGAGATCTTTATAACAGACAACTTACATAAAATGCATATAAATATCAGTTGTCACTCTGTGTGTCTCAATAATATGTCTTTTTAAGATGATCAAAACATATAATGCAATGCAATACAATGATAATTGAGAGATTAACAAATAAACGCTCTCTAAAAGTTTGATGATCATATTTGATACTCACATTTGAACATGATTTTATGGATATTCAAGTAAATGTTGTTTCAGTCCAGTACGTGTTCGTCTTGAAGTATTACTAACAATATCAAAGTTATTCTTATGTTAGTCTTATTTTAGAACTAGTTATTGCTGGTTCAAGATCCTACCAGCCTAGCCAGGTCCCCACTAACTTGTAGTCTGGCTAATTATCCACCTAAACCAGCTTAGACCAGCTAGCAAACTGCACAATAAAAATATTTTTTTTAGATGGGTTTTCTAGTAGATTTACTTTTGCACTTGCCTTAAAACCCCCACATGATCTTTCAGACACTTATTGCTCTCTATGCAAGCATGCATCTGTTTTATGTCATAATAATAACAAGTATATTAACCATAACTCTTGTCTATTTTGAATGTTTTAGCTTGTGCAGGAGGAGGAGAGGAGGAGAGCCGAGGCCCGGGGAGGACTCGAACTGCAGGGACTTCAATCTCATGAGCCAACGTGGCCACAGGAAAGAGTCCTGCTGCAACAGGAAGTGAGGTTGTTCCACCACAACATGGTCATTGTCTACATGAAGCTGCGCTGGATCCTGATGCACTGGAGGCTCGGCCGCAGGACGGACGCACTGGAGGAGGGAGCGCATGCTGAGGTGAGCTGATCCAGAATAACTAGCCTAGATGACTAGATGACCAGGACATTTCCTGACAGTTTTTATGAGATTGACCCATTGCATCTATACAAACTCAATAAAAATATCAGTGTAACGTTACATTTGGTCATTTACCACATGCTTTATTTTACTTTTATTATTATTATTATTATTTTACACCTGTGATTATTTCTGGATTATGCATTAATCATGCTAAAGTACTGATGTACTTTATTGTATGTATTTACAGATACATGAACGCATTTTGCATATAAATAAATAAATAATAATAAAAATAAAACAACTAAATATTTTTATATAAAACTAAAACCAACTGAAACTAAAAAATTATCAAATAAATTAAATAAATGTTATTAGAATTTTTTGTTTGTTTGTTTCAGTTAGTTTTAGTTTTATATCAATTTTTTTTTTTTACTTAGTTTTGTTTTTTAATGAAACTTTTAACTGACTGAAACCAGAAATAATAAACTTTCTGAGATGCAAAATGTAAAACATGCATGATGTAAAGTTCGATGTTTTTTCGATGTATTTGTCTCTTTCGTGGCAGTTGGTCGTCTGACGAACCATAACAGTTCAGCATTGGAACAGTGTGAGCACATGTTGTATGATTTTTCATTTCACAATCCATCTGTCATATCTGCAACAGCTGCTGTGTTCTGCTGTAAACAAATGTTAGTTTTCTGAAGCACAACTAAATTTAACAGTGAGGCTCAGAAACACTTCCAGTGCAGAAATATTAGTCAGACTGAAATAATTTCACTGCATATCAATACATCATCGTTCCTGTAACAGGAAAGCATGGCACTAGTAACGCCAAGCTGATGGGATCGATTCCCAGGGAATGCACAAACTGATCAAATGTGTACCTTGAATGCAGTTTAAGTTGCTTTGCATCTGCTAAACGCATTAATGTAAATACATACATTCAATTACATCAGTAACTACTTTTGCATAATTAATGCATAATCCAGTACAAATCACAGGTAAAAAAAAAGTAAATGAATAAATGTAAAAACTAAAAATTGCCTTAATACATTTAATATTACATTATTTTTTAAATAGTTGTTTTTATAGACACAATGTCTATATCTCATAAAAATGTCTTCGTCATCTGTCAGGTCAGAATTTAACCCAAAACAAAGAAAGAAGAAAGAATGTTTGTTTGAAACCTGTTTTAGGACCATCAAAAATTTTTAAGGAATATAATGTCACATGGATTTAACCAGATATGCATGATTTTATTTTATTTTATTTTTTTAATTATATTTTTTATGATGTTTTTTTGTTGTTGTTGTTTAAAGGGGTCATATGATGCGATTTCAAGTTTTCTTTTCTCCAACGCCAGGCATAAAAATACAGTATAAGTCATTATAATCAGTAATTATGTCCCCACTGGATGCAACAAATGCCTCATTTATAATGAGTTTTATTGTTTTTGTCTTGAGGCACTGGGACACGGCCTCATGTATGGTATGGTATGGGGCGTAACATTTCCGTCACACCAGGGTTGCCAGGTTTTCACAACAAAACCCGCCCAATTGCTACTCAAAACTAGTCCAAAACTAGCCCAATTGCGTTTCAAGGGGGTCCCCCGATAAAAATTGTGTTCCGGGGGATAAAATACACGTTTTTTGGCGGGGTTCCCCTGGTAAAATTCGAATTTTAGGGGCTAAATATCACGCTATTGGGGTCGCTCAACCCGCGGACATGAAAAACAACCCGCCGCAACAGTTTTAAAGTAGCCCAATTCCGCGGGAAAACCGCAGACTTGGCAACACTGCGTCACTAGCTTGAGGCATTCGGCCAATCACAACGCACTGGATCGCTGGCCAATCAGAGCTCACCTTGCTTTTCAGACCGATGAGCTTTTTAAAAATCAACGCGTTTCAGAAAGGCGGGGCATAGAGGAGAAACAATAATGTACATTATGTGGAAAATAATGTTTTTTGAAGCTTAAACTGCATAAATACATTTCATTACACCAAATACACAACATAATGTTCTTTTTAGCAACGTAATATGACCCCTTTAAATGTATTTTTATTTTTTGTTTTATTTAAAAAAATATTTATTTATTTAATTTTATTAAGTTTTGATTAAACTTTAACCTGTTAGCGTTCCACTGTACACGCGGTACACTGCGTGTTTTAGGCATTTCAGGGAATTTTACCGGAATGCTAAGGTGTTAACTGTAAACATTTTCTCTGCTTACCCTCTTATTTGTTTCTTCAGTATGAACGATTGGAGAGCATTCCAGAACTGGGCATTATGATCGACCAGGGAGATGGAGAGATGGAGAGGGAAGACAAAGTGTGTGCCCAAATCACAGGAAGGGACCTCACAGAGCCCGGCCCCCTCCTGCAGTCACCGGAGAGATTCCAGTACCAGAAACAGGTCAAATACCACAGCAACATATTTTGTAATGAAAATAATGTCACAGGGATTCACTCAGTTATGCATTTTATTTATCTATTTTTTTTAATACCACAGCAACATATCCATCGAAAATGTAAAAATATGGTTTGTGGACAGCAGGATTGTATTTCCTTGATTTTCATCTGTGCCAGTTGTGCCAAATCCAAAACCGAATTTCCATTCTATAGCAAATTAAATCAATTCTAAAGTTAAGTCTAAATTTCATTACAAGACATTTTTAAATACATTTACATTTATTCATTTAGCAGATGCTTTTATCCAAATATAAATGAGTAATACAAGAAGTGATTAATCTGAAGCAGGCAATAACACGAGAAGCACTGTATGTAATAATCCTCAGTGTTAAAACATGATTTAGGATGCGAGATTGTTGTTAATCACATTCATCCTTTTGTATATTAAACAAACTAGAGAAAAAAAACTAAATCTGTGCTTTTGATTGTTCACCTTAAAATCTCTCTCCTCTGTGGTCTGTGGTAAATATTAAATCAGTGTAAATGTTTCAGCAGCAGTGCCTGTTTGCTCCATATAAAGCAGTAAAACCTTCTCTCAGCTCTAGTCTATTATTTAATCGTGTAATAAAAGTAATAATATAAATAATAAAAGTGCAGGAGTTTGTAAATGCTTTAGTTTTACAAATCATTAAAGGCTGACACATACTCTTGTTTATAAGGATGTGGCCTTCTCTCAGTGTACACATGGTTTTGAATGAATTTCAGTAGAATAAGTCATTTGTGCTGAACATGCACTCTCAAAGCAAATGCCGCTGGCTCCACTGATGCTGTGAATTTCTGCTGTGCTGATGAAGCTTATGTACTACTGATGGAAGATATGTTCCTTAGTAAGATTAGTAAGGTTGGTTTATTGAACCATCTCTCACAGGACATTCCTGTTATAGTGTTATTTCTGCTCCACTGGCTTCACTAATTGAAATGCAATGTTTGTTTAGCCGGACAGAGCTGAATATAACATTATTTCAATAAATGGTGAATTTGAGATTTGAGTTTGTTTGCTATTTTATTTAGAAATTGCACACTTAAAGGGAGAGTTCACCCAAAAATGAAAATTACCCCATGATTTACTCACCCTCAAGCCATCCTAGGTGTATATCACTTTCTTCTTCCAGACAAATTCAGTCGCTGTTATATAAAAAAAAATGTCCTGACTCTTCCCAGCTTTATAATGGCAGTGAATGGGTGTTGAGATTTTGAAGCAAAATAAACTGCATCCATCCATCATAAAAAGTAATCCACACAGCTGCAAGGGGTTAATAACGGCCTCCTGAAGTGAAGCGATGTGTTTGTATAAGAAAAATATCCATATTTACAACTTTATAAACCGTAATCTCTAGCTTCCGCTAACTGTCGTACGCGCGTTCACGAGAGAGTGGCATTCCAGCGGATGACGTAGGAGTAGTGTAAGCTCTGGTGAGAATATGCTAGTCTCACGAGAACCTAGTTTTGTTTACAGCACTTCTTATGATGGATGGATGCACTTTATTTAGCTTCAAAATCTCAACACCCATTCACTGCCATTATAAAGCTTGGAAGAGCCAGGACATTTTTAATATAACTCAGATTGTATTCGTCTGGAAGAAGAAAGTCATATACACCTAGGATGGCTTGAGGGTGAGTAAATCATGGGGTGATTTTCATTTTTGGGTGAACTATCCCTTTAAAGGAGATTTGATATTATGTGTCTCAGATTTTATAAATGTTCTTCTTTGATCACAAATCTCATTTATGCTCATTTTTAGTTTGAACAGGATGCCTTTGAAGTGACGAGCGTTAATAAATAATGACAGAACTGTTTCTTTAATTAAAGCCGCTTAAGAGAGGCGCTGACTAAGAGAGACTGAGTTATTGAGTCATGATTAACTCTCTCCCACTTCTACCTAATTAATAATACAAACCCACAACTAATCAGTTCTTTCTTAGAAATGCATTTTACGGTCCCTCACATACAGAAAAGAAAAATCACAGATGAGATCTTTGCAAAATATTACTTATTAACCTATATAAGATCAACGGAGACTAGACAGACTAAATACATGACAAAGTCCTACTTCTCATATCTTTCTCAGCACAAATGATAATTATTATTATTTTATATAACAATAGTACAATTACAATACAGATATTTATGGTTAATTTGTTTGCTTTTTTTTTTTGCATTTACAAATGCACATTATAAGTGAGTCAAACTCACAGCTCTTGCAGAGATAGAGTTCATGTGGAGCCGCACACAGCACGTCAGATTATATATTTATATGATTGCAACACAGACTTTGATAATCGTGCTAAACCATAGTGCATTCTCTGGCATTGTTAGAATTAGTATACTAGTTGACATATACTAGCCAACACTGATTTTTACTCACATGTGGGAGAGTAGGGTTTCAGAAAAGATCTGCTCAAGATACAAAAGTCTGCGATCAGAAGTCAGAGATCTCAATGTAAACGTAAACATTTCTCGTTAATGATCTGAGCTGCTGTTCACATTCATTTTATAGCACTACACTCTTACTAGATAAAAACTAGTGACTCATTTGTGTCCTTTTCCTAAAGAATAGCAGGAGAAACATCTGAGACGAAGTTGATACTTAAACTGAGAATTCCATTAAGCTACAACAGAGCAGTCTCTGTGCAATAACACTGTCCTCTATGTGTGCAGGCAGGGGACAGTCGGCGTGTGCTGCATGCGCTGCGCTCCCTGCTGGAGGAGTTCAGGGCGGAGCTCCGCGAGGAGGCGCAGCGGCGCTGGCAGCTGCAGCAGGCGTTAGCCAACGAGAGAGCGGAGTGGGAGATACAGCGCGCTGAAATGAGGAGTCATGTCACCAGGGTACAGAAACATACCTGACATCACAGCAGAATCACCTGTGACAGACAGTACAGCACCTCAAACCTGTTGCAAAACCGGACTGCTGTCTACATAGGCAGCTACCTTCTCAGACAGCATCCCAACAGACATGGAAACTCATAAGTGGCTGAACTAAAAAAACGCTCTACTTCACATCAACTCTATTAATGGTCACTCACTCGTTCATGAGTCACATATATAAGTACAAACTAATATATATGTGGAATAGTTACTTTTTAATCAAATTAAATTTTTAACTGCATTAAAAAAAAGTATAGAACAATTATTTAATTTTATAGTTAAAAAGTGTTTTAAAAATATAAATAAAAATATTTAGCTTAAAAATATTTTAAACTAAATGATTTACACTACCATTAAAATGTTTAGGGAAATTAGAAAGAAATTAATACATTTATTCATCAAAGACACATTAAAATGATCAAATGTGACAGTAAAGACATTTTTAATGTTAAAAAAGATTTTTATTTCACATAAATGTTGTTCTTTCTTTCTGTTCATCAAAGAATCCTGAAAAATAAAATGTATCACCGTATCCACAAAAATACGAAGCAGCTCAACTGTTTTCAACATTGATAATAATCAGAAATGTTTCTTGAGCAGAACATCAGTATATTAGAATGATTTCTGAAGGATCATGTGACACTGAAGACTGGAGTAATGATGCTGAAAATACAGCATCACAGGAATAAATTACATTTTATAAGATATTCAAATAGAAAATAATTATTTTAAATGTTAATAATGTTTCACAGTATTACTGTTTTTACTGTATTTTGATCAAATAAATGCAGCCTTGGTGAGCAGAAGATACTTCTTTCCCAAACATTAAAAATGTTACCGAGGTAGTGTAAATAGCTTTTTTTGAGCCATTATGTCCAAGGTGACTTTCTAAAGAGTCGAATGTGAAATTTGGTCTCGTCATAAAACTGATTTTCTTTATGCCTTAACTAGACGTAAATCTTGTTAAGCAGCGTCTGCTAAGACGTTAAGCATCCACAGTGCCATGCGTTGCTTTCGGCTTACAGTGACTTTTAAAAATGTTACCAACTCAAACTTTTGTAAGGTAGTGTAAATAGCTTTTTTTGAGCCATTATGTCCAAGGTGACTTTCTAAAGAGTCGAATGTGAAATTTGGTCTCGTCATAAAACTGATTTTCTTTATACCTTAACTAGACATAAATCTTGTTAAGCAGCGTCTGCTAAGACGTTAAGCATCCACAGTGCCATGCGTTGCTTTCGGCTTACAGTGACTTGTGCTGTTTTTGTGTCAGTAAGTTAGGGAGCGTCTTTAAATAGCCAGCTATATTTATGCAGTGGTGCAGTTCGGCCGTCAAACATAGTCATGGTCTATTAAAAGAAAGCAGATGTCAGAGGAGCTCTGCTAATTCAGACAGCGTGTAGATTAGGAACATCTGGCTAGACATGCGAGGAAGGTGTTTCTGGACTCTGCTGCACTACATGTACTGCATTTCGTTTAGGCTATTTGGCAAACTTACACACTGGCTATATATTTACAGCTACGTAGAGTGCTATTTGAGTGTGTTTGTCTGGCTGCGTTCAGAATTGAACACTCACATACTGCTGATTCCATTCTTTGCAGTATACACTATGTACTGTATACTTTTTGTTAAAAAATAGCATTTAACAAATTGCAGTTCACCGTATGATGTTATAAATCACAGCTGCAATTATGGTTCTTTTGTCACACTGTAAATTGAAGGTCCAGTGTAATGCATTTAATTATGGGATACAGTTTCGTGCTCTATACTATACTGCTATACTATACTGCTAATTGTAGCATGTCATTCGGTTGTTCTATGCATATATAAAATCTGCATATCATGCATGCTATGCAAAGCTAGAATGAGCAGTATGTTATTCCAAACACCCTATGGTGCCATTTATTCTTTTTCTTGTCTTTCTGTCATCCCTGCAGCTGCAGGATATGAGAGGAGAGTCTGCAGGCGCAGTCGCAGATGAAGGTGCAGTTGCTTCAGATGTGTTACAGCAGGAGCGGGAGGAGCAGCGCTGTCTGCTGGCCGACAGTCACAGCACAGCACTGGAGCTGCGCTGGAAACTGCAGCACGGAGAAAAGCGCTGGACCCACGAGCGGAATGAACTACTGGAGCGGTTTGAGAAAGAGAGGCAGGAGTGGGACCGCAGCGTACGGGAAATGTACCGCAAAATGGAAAAGGTCCGTGGTGTAATTCCTTCTTATTTCACTCATACACATCACTCAGTACATGGTAGATGAGACATGTAAGTGTGTTCAGTGCTGGAAGGTATTAGTATTAAGCGTAATTAAATATGGCAATAATCAAGTCACCTATATTTCTATAGCGTTTACTACAATACAGATTGTGTCAAAGCAGCTTCACAGAGATAAACAGGAAAATAGCGGAATCAATCATGGAAACTCATTATTTCTTTGTGCTTCGTTGTTTGAGCAGCTTGTTAACATAATCATCATGAGATAATCCACTGTACTCAGCATCTCAGGGCAGCTTAGTTTATAGTAAATGCATAAAACTCTGCTTGCGCTGAGAGTTTAACATGCATTTTTGTAATGCAACATGCACTAGGTTCACTTTATTAAGAAAAAAAATTTTTGTATTGTAACTTAATTAAATATCGATTTTTAAAAATTGTATTTATTGTAATTTACAACAGTAATATATTTATGTATTGATTTCTAATAATTAGAGTTAAATATAATAATATAATTAGAACTAAAATTATTATTATTATTATTACGTTTGATTGGGCTCCAGTTACAATGTCAAAATAAAACACTTTTTAATAAAAGATTAAATATTTTATCAATTTGCATGCATGTCATGTGACCATTAACCAACATCAGAGAACCATGAACATGGAAATGTGTTGTTGAATTATAGACTTCAAGTAAATGTTTTACGTCTAAGGGGTTAAGCCAGCCAAAAAAACCCTGCCTTAGAAGATAGTTGCCTATGTGGACAGTTGGCAGAAAGACAGCTTACTAGGTCTTGAAACGAAGCCAATATCTTATCTTCTCCATCCCAGATGCAGAAAGATGTTCTCCAGCCAGAAGGAGGCACAGCGCATGTCTTCTCTCCTCAGGAGAGCCCCTGTAAGGCTCCTAGATCTCCACGCTTCCCCTGCACAGCCGCACACACGCGTTCCCACTCCGACTCAGAGGCCACACTGGAGGAGAAGGGGGCGATGGGCAGACCCAGACCCTTTGAGGGACACCGGCCCCCAGAGAGCCTGTTCCTGGATGCCCTCTCTCTGGATCCTCTGAGCGAAGCCGAGGTGCCTCCTCCATCACGTCTGGAGAGCGAAAAGCGGTTCCCCCACATGAAGGAAGTAAGAGAGAGAGTAAGACATCAGTACACACTGCACGATGGGGCACATTTCATATCATGCTTCTTTTTCTTTTTTTAAATGAGTCTCCACTTATAATGTTGTTGTTTTTTTGTTTGCTTTTTTTTTTTTGGCACCAAAGATATTTTTTGTTTTTCATGGTCATTATCCTCTCTCTGACCCTTATTATTAAACAGGCTGTTTTTGCTGCTGTAAAAGAGTTATATATGTAAATTACCTCTTTTATGATTGGCTAACATCTTTGCATGTGAAATGAGGAAGAATTATTACATGGCAAAACTATCTGCACTCAAATGTACTGCATACATTTTTAAAGCAAGTTAACAATTTGTGGCTTTTATGTTTTAACCGTGTTGTTGTTTCAGGCACTGAATGAGATCTCTGAGAGTGTGGATCCTGCCATTTACCCTGAGGAAGAGAAGAGTGGCGGCAGCCTACTCAGGTATGGTTTTTGTTTGTATGTGTGTGTTTATGAGTATGTGTGGGCTAGTCTAAGTGATTAAAGTGACTTTGTTCTTCTCTTAGGAACCTAAAATTCCTCTGAAGAATAGCAAAGCTTGACAAAACTTGAAAACAGCTACATAAATGGATATGCTTAGACTGTGCTGTTGTTGTCATTTCGGCAACATCTCAGGAGAATTGTGAATGGAAAGGAATGGTTTAATCTTAGTAGGCCAGAGATTAAATGTGCCAGCAACAAAGTAAAGATAACTTCATCAGTGCACGTGTATTGTTCTAATAAAGATACTTATTCTTTGTGGCTGACACAGTAAACCCAGTGCGCTGCCTACCTATAGAGTGCTTTAAAGTATCATCGGCATGCTCCTGATGGAGTTATTCCTATGTTCGTAGGGTTCTATGTTCCCCAGTTACCAGACTTCCATGTTCTTGAGGGTTCTATGTTCCCCAGTTCCTAGCGTCCCATGTTCCTAGGGTCCTATGTCCCCAGTTCCCAAGATCCCCTGTTCCCAAGCTCTTACGTTATTAGGATTCTGTGTTCCCCAGTTTTCAGACTTCCATTTTCTTAAGGTTCTATGTTCCTTAGTTTCCAGACTTCCATGTTCTTAGGGTTCTATGTTCCCCAGTTCTTAGCGTCCCATGTTCCTAGGGTCCTGTGTCCCCAGTTCCCAAGGTCCCCTGTTCCTAAGCTTCCACGTTCTTAGGGTTCTATGTTCCCCTGTTCCCAGGATCCATTGTTCCCGAGGTTCTATGTTCCCTAGTTCTTAGGGTCCCATGTTCTCAAGGTTAGGGGAGTATAGTGTTAACTCTGAGAACATACGGTAGATGTGCTCCCCTTGAGACACAAAGGCTATTCCAAAAAGTAAACAGCGACATTGTGCTGCTTTATAATATACTTTCTGTGAGCATTGCATCTATCGTTGGTTACAATGTTTAGCAACACCAATGTAACTTTTTATCCATTTTTACCTCCACAGGGCAAAGTCAGTCTGCTCCATGAGTGACTTCCAGCGTTTGATGGACAGTTCCCCCTTCCTGCCAGATAAGAGCAAGCCTGGCGAGCACGAGCGGGATGATGTGACTCCTCCCCTTTCACCAGATGACCTCAAATACATTGAGGAGTTTAATAGTAAGGGTTGGGATCTGCCCACCAGCTCCCTGGCCACTTGCCCCATTCCTGGCCCAGTAATCCCCTCTCCAGTGATGGAGGCCTGGGCAGAGAGGGCAGAATCCCGAAGGGCAGAGTCTACTTCAGAAGCATTCCAGCCAGCCTCCTGGTACCTGACCACCAGCACTACCTTGACCACCAACACCATGAGTATCCCTGAGTACTGCCAGAAGCTCCCACTCAGGGCAGCCCAGGGGGGGGAACAGTTTGGGGTGCAGATCCTCCACAGTCCCGTTCGAGGGGAGCGGTCAGCTCCAGGCCCCCCTGAGCAGGAATACATGTTCTCCAAAGTGACCAAAGTAAAGGCAGGGGAGGTAGTAGGCGATGCTGAGGAGGTGTTTGGAGGAAGGTGGCCATGTGAGCTAAGGAGTCATTTGGAGGCAGGACTTAGGCCTGGAGAACGTCCATCGATTTGCGCTGCTGTCGGGTATACCTCGTCATTAGAGCTGGAGCTGGCACGGAATCTGAGCGATGACATGAAGGAAAAGGCGTTTTCTGCTCGGAATGCCATCCGATCATCTTCTGCATCTGGATCCAGCCCTCCGGAAAGGCAGCTACGGGACATGGCATGTCAGACGAATGGTTTAACCACACGGGGAACACAGACCACCCTGACCATCAGCGTGGGATTGCAAACAGAGGCTGTTCGCACCCTCACAAGCAGCCCTCACCGCTGTCTAACGCCCAAAGGAGGCTCCACGCCCATCTCATCTCCTTCACGTAGCCTGAGAAAGATGCAGTACTCTCCAGTCGTTCAAGCCAAGTTTGAACGCCCATGCTGTTCGCCAAAATATGGCTCACCTAAGCTCCAACGGAAACCTTCTAACTCTGGCAAAGCAGAACAACCTGTTGGTCAAACCCGTGCTCCCACCCCAACAACCACTGCTCAGCAGCAAAAAGGGAACAACGAATCCGCTTGGGCCCGTTCCACTACGACCAGAGACAGTCCCGTTCACACTACTATCAACGACGGCCTCTCCAGCCTCTTCAACATCATCGACCACACGCCCATCGCATACGACCCTATTCAGAAATTCAACAAGTCCCCTAGCCGCTCTCGTCCCACTGAAGCAGGCCCTCAAGAGTCAACGGACCCCAAATCTCCCAGTGTTTGTGCTGCACAGGGGCCTTTGAGGAACTCTCGGGGCCGGTCCCCAAGCCCTGTGCAGCTGATTGTAGAGACGCAAGGCGAGAAAACTCCAGAGGTGATTAGCATCAGACAGGACCTGTCCGCTCCTCCAGGCTACACGCTAGCTGAGAATGCAGCACGGATCTTGAATAAGAAACTACTGGAGCAGAGCTTCAGAGAAGAAAGGAGGCTTTCCGCTTCATCCGCAGCTGCTCCGAACAAAACCGGAGACACAGAGAAACCAGGATGTCTTGAGGTAACTGAGAGGTTTATTTTATTCTACCTAAAGGAAGAACACGATATGCTCTTTTATAGCTTAGGAGAATTAGTTAACTTGAAAAATTGACCTTACTTTCTTAATAGTTGTTCCTGTTTGTCCTTGTAATTTGTCATCAAAATGAAGATTTTGTTATAAATTCTAACTTTTGATTTCAGACTTTAGTGTCTTGGCAATTCTGAGCACAGTTTGAGACATTGTTGAGATCTCTTCTGAAACTCTAGAGAAGACCCGTATAAGATTACTGGGGTGTTTTTCTAGCAGGAGGCCTAAGCAAATGTCTTCATTCAGTCTAATCTCATTGCTGTCTAGTAGACACAAATGAATTATTTAGATCTCATTTGTGACTTTGTTATTTCCTGCGGGTGCATGCACACTTAGTTTGTCTCATTTTTTTAGTGTAGATTGTATATTACGGTATAAATTTGACTGCTTGTTAAATGTTTTGGTACTTGACCAATGCAGTTTCAAGGTACATAATTGTTATAATAAAGTATAAAAAAGTCTAATTCCCAGCTGCCAAACGCTGCCTGAGCACAGGCCTTATACATCTGAGCTGCCTGCTATAGCGCGCTGCTTTGTTGCAATGCTAACAGTAGTATAATCACATGCTGCTTGTTTTTTTTTATTTTGCAGTGGAACTAGCTTGCATAATAACTTTGGATGCAAGATGTTCTAATTCACCATAATAAAGTTGTATCCAGTGTTTGATGCCTGCCTACCTCTATCCATTTGGACGATTAATCCCTCACATGAAAGCATGAGACATTTGTCAACAGACAGATCTGCATTTACTGTAGGAGCGGCATCATTGCGCAATCCCATGATGCTATGTTAATGGTCAAAGACACATTTACAAATATTTTAACATCGTTAAAGGCAGATGGTTCTTCGTGAGCAGTGTATGTATCTGGGATTTGTGTTTTGAACGTAATGGATATTACAAGGCAAGAATGCATACAGTACAACAGAAGAAAGGGATGAATTCACTAAACAGTTGTGCCAGTTTAGCCCACAGTGTTTCAAGTTGGCGTTGTTACAAAGTTTTATATTGGAAATTAGATGTTTTTGTACATTTTTTAATTGATTATTTCAGTTGTTTGAGACAGTCATCTTGCTAAATAAATCTGAATATCAAGGCTATTAGGAAAAGTATGGATATATTCTGAGTGTACACAAGTAAAAACATATGTGTCGTAGAGTGCATGTATCAATGTATGAGGGCGAATCTCACCAAAACATGTCCAGGTGTATTGTATTGTATTATTATATTATATTATATTATATTATTGCACTATATTAAGGATAATTGGGCAAAATTTAAAACAAGAATACAATTTTAATATATTACAATTATGATATTAAAAATATATTATATATTTTTTTTATTTTGGAGGGGAAATATGACTTGGACAGGTTTTGTCACCAAACCTCTATATTGTGCTAAAATGTTTAAATTTAAAGGACAGTGAGCTGCTTTTACAGGTTTTACAGTAGACGCCCTGCGACCCGGCCAGACTTGCCAGATCCCCGCTGTAGCTCTAACCTGAGTCTGATGTGGTTGTGTAATTTTGACCCGTGTGTTTACTCCTGTTTTTCTGGGTTGTCTCCAGAACCATACTGTCTTACTAACTGCACCCTGGGGACTGTAACGCAGCTTGTGCTCGCCGTGCAGTAAGTTCCACTGATCTTACTTGGCCTTTGACCTCACATTGACCTCACTTGTGTTCCGTCTGACTGATTTTAATGGATTTCTCTCACCGCATGCCACACAGTTTGTAGACACCGTATCACCGCTAGGCATTGTGGGAAATATTGTGTGTGCTTTGTTGTGGTCACACTTTCTTTGTCCTCATGTAGGTATGAGCATGCCCATCGTCTGATATTAATGACGTCACCAATAAACAGTCATCCAAAAAGCCTAAATTATCCCAAGCATTCATTCACATGGGGTGGGATTTCATAAGGCAAAACACAAGAAACTTTGGCTGATATATAGTGGCTCAAATGTATTTACCTATTTTAAAGATAAATAGCACATGCAAACTATTCAAGTGCAACATGTCCCAAACAGACATTTTAAAAGATAAAACTAGTGTTTAAAATGAAAACAAAAAGTATTTGGACACTTTTTAAAGTGACTTAAAGCGATAGTTCATCCAAAAATTAAAATTGTCATAATTTACTCGGTTTCTTTCTTTCATTTGAGTTTTTTCGGCTAAACAAGATATTTTGATGAATGTTGCTAACCAAACATTTGATGGTAGCTATTGACTTCCATAGTATTTTTTTCCCATACAATAGAAGTCAATGGCTGCCGTCAACTGTTTGGTCGCCAACATTCTTCAAAATATCTTCTTTTGTGTTCAATAGAATAAAGAAATTCATACAGGTTTGGAACAACTTGAGGGTGAGTAAATGACAGAATTTTCATTTTTGGGTGAACTGTCCCTTTAAGTGTACAAATACCTTTGGAGTCACTGTATCAAACTCACAAGTGGCTTTTTGGATGGTGTAACCATTTTGACTATATAATCACCTTTTTTTTTTCTTTTCTTAGGTACGTGTTTGTGTGTTTGTAATTGTATTATTTTTGTCCATTTTAAAGGGTCTTAACCTCACCAGCCCTACTGATGGAAACTACAGCGTAACATCTCGTGCTTTCTCAGTTCACTGTACTGTAATGTTTGCTGTCTGGTGTTAACAGGACGTGAGCGGCGCTCAACATTACTGCATGCTAGCAGTGATAGTGGTGTGTTGGGGTCGTTTGGGGTTCATTGGCTGGTGTTGGTGTTGGCTGTGCCTTTGCTACAGCGTTTAACATCTGCTGCTAATGCTGGGTCTCATTTCTTAACATCTAGCAACTTTACGCTCGTTCAAAGCTTGCAATTATAGTGTGTTTCAGGTTAATTGTTATAGATTTGTGATGCATGTCATACAGTGATATTTATATTATTTTAATATATTTTCAGTAATTTTTGGTGCTTTTGTCATTTTTATTTGTTTTTATTTTTTTATTATTTTTTTATTTCGTTTTAGCTTTTATTTATTTTTATTTCGGTTGTAATATTTTTAGTACTTCAACTTCAAACTTAATTTATTTCATTTAGTTGCCAAGGAAACATTTCTAATTTTCTTATTTTTTTTAAGTTTAAGTTTAATTTTAAGTTTAAGTTTTTCATCTGATATTTATATTTAAGCTTATTTCAACCTTATTTAAATGAATGATTAACAAGATGAGAAATCATTAGTTTTAGTTAATAAGGACAACACTGTTTCATGTTGGTTATGATGTCACTGGAGTGCAGAAACATTCAGGTTGTTATTTATTTATTCATTTTTTGCCTCAGTTGAACCGCAGGACTCCATTTAAATTCACTTTGCATCAGCTTCAAAGTCTCACTCAAAAACCGACCGCAGATTCAAGACGTAGTAAATCCCTGTTTCTGAATTATTCAAACAACAGAAAATATCCACCTCTCATGCTGGAATCTCATTCATTTTTAATGAGAACTGTTTAAAATGAATCAAGCTGAAACCACGGTTTTCCTCAAAAGTCAGAAACAAACTGAGTGTTATTCTTTACTATTTGCTACAGACAGTATGAAATGGATGTTAATCCATTTTAGCTCAAAGTTTAAACTGTAAAAGCACTAATGCTTGCAGACCAGTGTTATTTTAGTATTATGTATATACTATTATAGTATTTATTTATATTTAAACTTTGCAATTAACATTTATTTTTATATTTTGAGTTTTCATTTAAATTTTAGTTTGTTTTAGTAATTTTGTTGTGTTCTTTTGCCGTTTTTATTAGTTTTATTTTTTATTTCTGTTTAGCTTACATTTATTTTTATGTCAGTTTTACTCATTTTAGTACTTTTTTGAGTTAGTTGCAAAGGCAAGGCACTAACTAAAATTTCTAATTTAAGTTTCTTATTTTCATTACTTTTTTATTTTAGCTTTATTGCAGTGAACAAAAAATGGCTTTAGTTTTTAATTTATATTTAGCTTTAATATAATCTTTATTTCAGTTTTATTCATTTTAGTACTTCAACTTATTTTATTTCAGTTAGTTGCCAAGGCAACATTTCTAATTGAAATTTCAAATTTTCATTTAATATTTCTATTTTATTTCAGCTTTATTTCAAATAATGAAAGCATTTTTAATATAATTTTTAGTTTTTTTTTTATCCAGCTTTGATTTATTTTTATTTCAGTTTTAGTAATTTTTAGTAGTCTTAAAGAGGTCATATGATGTTGCTAAAAAGAACATTATTTTGTATATTTGGTGTAATGAAATGTGTTTATGCAGTTTTTCATTCAAGTTTTTTTTTTATCTAATATTTTAGCTTTATTTCAGTTAACGAAAACAACTGACAATTCAGCTAACAATAACACCACTGTTGCAGACTTACCACCGACTAACAGATAAACTGTTTTCTTCCTTGACACAGGACTTGCCTCGTTCGCCAGTGGCTCCACCTCTGGACTCCTGCTTCCTGCGTCCGGCTCGTCCCGCCAACCGCCGTCCTCCTTCCCGCTGGGCCGCCCACTCGCCCTCATCCTCGCCCAACTACAAAGACCGATCGGAGATGTTCCGCTTCCCCTCGCCCGTCAGACCGGTTCAGACCATCCCGGAGATAGAGGAGCCCGGTCAGGAGGTTTTCCCTTAACCAGCCTAGACTACATCCTTCTGTGCTTTCTGACACCTTGAGTTCAGTCAGCAACCGGTTTATCTCAACCTCAAGTATGATTTTAAAATTTCACTTCTGAAATGCCCCGAAAAAAGGAAGTGTGGTGATAAATCAGGATTGTATTTACACTTTCACTCTCCTTAACCATCTCCCATTCCTGACCACACACGTACTACGCACACCGTCGGAGCGACGGAATCATTGAGAACCTTTCTAAAAAAACATTTACCTGCCCTGCCACTAGAGGGCAGAGTTCTGTGAGCACCAGCTGAACTGATCCAATAGGAAACAGTTCCAGAATTCCGTTTCGGAATTATCAAGGACCTGGAATGTACTGACGCAAAACACCGCAAAGTGTTCCATAAGAGGTGCCTACACACGCGTGACCTCGCGACGGTCCCGTACCCGTGTGTGTCCGTGTACAATGTATGCAATACATACCACTCGATATGTGTTGGTCATGAAGCCGCAAACTTCTTTTCAGATGTTCTGAAAAATATAACTGGATAGTAATAACATTTGTCGGATCAGCATAAAAGTTTACGTGTTGATTTATATTCATTTTGGAGGGGTGAAAATCATTTGTTAAATTATGTTCTGTGTATATAGTTTATAAAGCTATTTTCTTAATTTCTGCATACATCCCGTTTCGTTGGAAACCTTTGATGCTTGAATTAAAAAGACTCAGTTGTATTTGTAAAGAGAATTAGATCAAAACTAAAGGAGAAACACACACACACACTCTAGTTCGACAGGGACGAATGATACATGATGTCAATCATAATGTATTTAAAACCCAATATAAAACTGAATGTTCGACTCTGCAGGATTCCAATTGGAAGTTAACGTCGTAATTTGAAACCAGTTGTAAAAGAGTTTATGAACTGTAACAACATGTAAATCTGCTCTGGCTGAAACATGCTGCAAAAACAGAAGAAAAATAAATATAAAACTCAACATGTTTCCCTCAGATCTAAGATTTAAATGCATGAATATTTATTAAGACATCCATTGAGGCAGTCTATGATTGGTTGTTGGTTGCTTAGCGACTCATTTGTAACATTCTAACACGGCATTGCTTCATACTGTAGAAGTTTGGCAGCAAATTGTGACCCACATCCGATAATGGTTCAAAGTGATGCAAACCTATTTTCAAAATTAGAAGTGTGCAAAGCTGCTCGAACCAGGGTCAAAATGAACCCTAAAGGAATAGTTCACCCGAAAATGAAAATTTGCTGACAATGTACTATGTAGATGTTTTTTCATCAGAACTGATTTGGAGAAATGTAGCATTGCATCACTAGCTCACCAATGAATCATCTGCAGTGAATGGGTGCCGTCAGAATGAGAGTCCAAACAGCTGATAAAAACATCACAAAAACAAATCTATCATTAAGACGTTTTAACTTCAAAACCGTTGGGATTTTGATGTGAGAGACGTATAGTATTTCAGCCAGAAGTGACTATTTAAAGTTAAAACATCTTAATGATGGATTTGTTTCTTACAAACACTCAGATTTTGGCTTCTCACGTCATTAATTGCTGGACTGTACTGGTGTGGATTACTTGTGGATTATTGTGATGCTTTAATCAGCTGTTTGGACTCTCATTCTGACGGCACCCATTCACTGCAGAGCATCCATTGGTGAGCAAGTGATGCAATGCTACATTTCTCCAAATCTATTTCCATGAAAAAATAAACTCATCTACATGAATGGCCTAAGCAAATTTGCATTTTTGGGTGAACTATTTATTTTGGATTGGATAGTATCCAATAGTTTAGGATTGGTTCCAAATTGTGAGATCTACAGTATTCCACTATAGAATCCAGTCTTGAATGGCCTAAGCAAATTTGCATTTTTGGGTGAACTATTTATTTTGGATTGGATAGTATCCAATAGTTTAGGATAGGTTCCAAATTGTGAGATCTACAGTATTCCACTATAGAATCCAGTGCAGGTTTCTTCTGGATGTCTTGACTAGGATTTGGACAGCAGTTTTGCAGATATCATATTTGATATGCATGCCTTTAAACACTAGCACTTTAGTGCATGTACTGAGACGCTGTTGTACCTTGTGATAAAGCTCTTGATGTAAGCCCACACACACACACACACACACACACTGCTGTTCACTGCGTGTGGCTGCTCATGTCATTTCCGTTGCCATTGAATTTGCATTGACACAATTGAGAACACTTTTTAAGCCCATTATTGTACCTATTAACTGGTTTTTGTATAGATGTTATTATGAATTCAGATCTTTCTTTGGAGGAAAAAGAAAAAATTATGAATGTTTTAAATGAAGTCACTGTCAGATGTCTAATGAGTGTTAAATTGGTAATAAATTGAATGTGTATTTACAAGAAAAAGTTGTCCGTGGATTTTTAAAAAAAAGAAATTAATACTTTAGTTCAGCAAGGATGCATTAAATAGTTTAAATAGTGCATTAATCAAAGTGACAGTGAAGACATTTATAATGTTGCAAAAGATTTCAAAAATGCTGTTCTTTTGAACTTTCTATTCATCAAAGAATTCTGGGGGTAAAGGGGTTCCACAGAAATATGAAGCAGCACAGCTGTTTTCACCATTGATAATAATCAGAAATGTTTCCTGAGCAGCAAATCAGCATATTATACTGATTTCTGAAGATCACGTGACACTGAAGACTGGAGGAATGATGCTGAAAATACAGCTGCGCATCACAGAAATAAATTACATTTTACAATATATTCACATAGAAAACAGTTATTTTAAATTGTAATAATATTTCACAATGATCACTTTTTTATCAAATAAATGCAGCCTTAGTGAATAGAATCGACTTCTTTCAAAACCATAAAAAAGGAGATTTCCCAGGACTCTCAAATCCTTTCATTTCAGTGTAACACACAGTGTTGCGTGTGAGTTTGTGCAGTTGAGATTAAAGCGGCGAGTGCTGCATCATCATAAACTCAGCGACTCAGAGGAGGATCACATCAGGCACTGAGGGGAAGGTCATGGACTGTATTATGTTACTCTAACAGCACCTGAGAGAGAAATGAGGCTTTTAAATGTTACATAATCACTGCATCTGGACATCAGGTTCTGCTGATACAAGAAAACACAAAGGTAACATTTATAAGGACTTTTAGGTCCTTTTAAAGGAGTAGTACACACAAAAATAAAAAATTAGCTGAAAATTCACTCACCCTCAAGCCATCCAAGATGTAGGTGAGTTTGTTCATCAGATTTGGAGAAATGTAGCATTGCATCACTTGCTCAGCAATGGATGCTCTGCAGTGAATGGGTGCCGTCATAATGAGAGTCCAAACAGCTGATAAAAACATCACAATAATCCACAAGTGTAATCCACACCACTCCAGTCCATCAGTTAATGTCTTGTGAAGCCAAAAGCTGAGTGTTTGTAAGAAACAAATCCATCAAGACATTTTTAACTTCAAACTGTTGCTTCCAGTTCAAATGGGAGTCATCCGTTTGCTGCATTGTCACTGGAAATGGATTTGAGATCTCGTTTGAGTCTGTGCTCGACTCTTGGGTCCTGATAAGATAATTACTGTGATGTCTGTTGATCTAATTGTCCCGTCCATGTGTTTCAGATCCGCCGTGTACCTTTGTGTTTGGACTTTCACTGCTGCTTCAGCTAATCTTCTTCATCATGGTAATGGGTTTCCACATCTGATCTTGCACAACCGTGAACATCTCTGTCCTCCTAAACATTAATCCAATATGTGTGGATGAGAACCTGTAATCAAATAAGTGTTCAGATCTGTGGAGCTCTGAACCTTGAGTCTGACTGCAGAAGTCTGAACCTCATGAGTGCAGCTGCCAATCAAATCAAACTGTCAATCAATTATCTATCCATCCATCCATCCATCCATCTATCTATCTACGCGTCTGTCTGGCCGTCACTTTCTGTTATTCTTCCTGTCTTTGCTTTCCATTAATTTCTCTTTCTTTCATCTTCTTTCTCTCGATCCACAAATATTGACAGAACTTTGAATCATTTTACAGCTGTAATTCAACTGGACACAGTATAACGGAGTGACAGACAGTGTTTGTTCTCCCAGCAGAAGGTGAAGAGCCTGCGACAGCAGATCTGGAGCCAGAAGACTTGAGTCTTGCAAGACGGTGTGTGTGTGAGAGGCAGTGGGCACAGTCATTGTCGGGCTGCTAAACCTTTGCACGCTCTTGTTAAGATGAAGGGTCTTGCCAAGATGATTGTTGTCATGGTAACAGCACCACTGCAGCCCAATGTGAAGTCATGATATTCGGTTGCGGCATTTCTCTCATCTTGCATCTGTTTGTACAGTCATGTCAACTTGATTCAGCCCTCAGGTGCGTCCATATAAATAAATATCAGACATAATAAAAGCCAAATTAATTTAGATCCATGTTTCAGTGGAAAGCCTATCACACCAGAGCATCAAGAAAATGTCTGATAAATCCTGGTAAACACATTACATAACAGTTCAATACAACACTAATGTTACGATGTAAAACCCTTAAGAAAATGCTTCTTATTTATAAATCTTATTTAAATCGTATGATTTTTTAAAGCTCTTTTAATATTACGATGTTTCATGGGAGCATCTGTTGGCGTGAAGCTTAAACAGGAAGAAATAGGAGATGATCCGATCAGAGCTTGAAAAAATGATCTTTTGATAAAGAACATGGACGTAATCTTCCACTGCCTGCAAGCATATCAGGAAGATTATGATTTAAGCAGAACACAACAGGACAGAAGTGTTCTGTACAGATAGAGAGGGGTCAATAAGGTTGTGTTATTCTCAATGAGCCACAAGAGGGAGTGTGTGTGTGTGTGTGTGTGTGTGTGTGTGTGTGTGTGTGTGTGTGTGTGTGTGCGTGTGTGTTTGGCTATTTGTGAAGGCCAAATGTTTCAAAATGATCTCACAAATTAAGTGAAATGTTAAAAACTATGATGATATATGATATTTACGTGCTCTACTATTTGAATAGCTCATAAATCATGTTCTACTTTGAATCTACTGATATCAAGGTTTTCGAGTTGGGGTTTAGCATTAATAAAATCATTCATTATTAAAATGCAGCTTCTTTAATAAAAAAAAAATTAATAAAATAATGAGTAATGAGAATTCGGGGGAAAAGTAACTCTCATCAAAGCAATCTCACATAAAATATTAATATTCATAAATATTTTTGTTGTTGTTGAAAAATGAACTTTGTATACATATTTCAACAAGAATAAACAGCTTTTAATGAATGCAAATAACTGAGAGAACTTATCAGATATATGTTTTATTTCATAAAAACATAGAACAATAAATGCAATAATTACTGTTAAACTACTTGGAACTAATATTTCTGTCAAAGTAACATTAGCAACTGTTTTTGTAAGAGCTTATTGATCCAGGACAAGATGCCAAGGTGCACATTTTTCTCACGATTGTTTCATAGCAAATAAAAATAAAATGAGATTTTAAAAATTCAACATAGTTAAGCCTGCAAGGTTCAAAACTAAATTTTCGTGAAATGTGACATTTTATTTTCCTGATGTCTAATATAAAATTGTTTTAGTGGTATGAAATAATTCAGTGAGAGAAACTGCAATTATGGATGCAATTAAAAGCAAATGCAAATAAATTTTCATGGCACTGAAAAACATAACAAAAAAAGACAAATATTTACATAATGTATCACCTGACAGAATAGAAAAAAACCCCAAAAGAAATCAAAGAAAATCTGACTGTTTTATAATAACTGGGAAGTTTAGTGTCCTGAGGTGAGGTTTTGTGAAACACTTTACTTTGTGATTTATTTTGTTTGTTTTAGCTGAATCATGAGAGGAGTTCCCCCCCATCAGATCTGATCTAGGAGAACCAGAGCCCGTTCTAACCCAAACCCAGAGTCTATACCGCACACAGAGTCACAGAGGCATCAAAAGAGATGGAAGAGAGCCGCGTTCACGCTGCAGCCTCGCATCTTTGGCTGAACAGCACCTCCACGACCTTGGGGTCAGCCAGGGTCGAAAGGTCACCCAGGTCTTTTTCATTGCGGGCGATCTGTCGCAGAACTCGACGCATGATCTTACCTGCAGGACGGGTGAAAAGCTTGAGTTTAGGAGTGAAAGCAGAGATGTGGCGAGAAACTGAAAATGCAAGATCCCAGTACCTGAACGGGTTTTGGGAAGCCCTGGAGCATTCTGGATGAAATCTGGGGTGGCGATTGGTCCGATCTTCTCCCTCACTGAATGAAAAGCTCACGTTAGTAAGAATGGAATAGATTCAGATTGTATTTTCTCTCAGTGTTTAATGTGATCACGACCTCTGACCTTTTCTTTTTAGTTCTTCCGTCAGCGTGCGGTTGAACTCTTTGTGGTCTTTCAGAGTGACGAAGCAGTACAGACACTCTCCCTTCACTGCATGAGGCCGACTGACCACCGCAGCTTCAGCCACCGACGGGTGTTCGGTCAGAGCCGCCTCCACTTCTGCTGTGCTCAACAAATGACCTGAGAGACGAGACGCGACGGTAATGTGATCACGACCTCTGACCTTTTCTTTTTAGTTCTTCCGTCAGCGTGCGGTTGAATTCTTTGTGGTCTTTCAGCGTGACGAAGCAGTACAGACACTCTCCCTTCACTGCATGAGGCCGACTGACCACCGCAGCTTCAGCCACCGACGGGTGTTCGGTCAGAGCCGCCTCCACTTCTGCTGTGCTCAACAAATGACCTGAGAGACGAGACGCGACGGAAAAAATCACTACTGTTCAAAAGTCCGGGGTCAGTATGATTCTTCTTTTAAAGAATTCATACTTTTATTCGGCAAGGATGCATTAAATTGGTCAAAAGTGGCAGTAAAGACATTTGTAATGTTACAAAAGATTTCTATTTCAAATCAATGCCGTTCTTTTGAACTTTCAATTCATAAAAAAAAAAATATTTCACAATATTACTGTTTTTACTGTATTTTTTGATCAAATAAATTCAGTCTAGGTGAGCAGAAGAGACCTCTTTTAAAAATATTTAAAACTCATGTTTCCAAACTTTTGTCAAGAACTGTGTGTGTGTGTGTATAGATAGATATATAATAATTAATAATAATTAATGCATTTAGCAGACACTTTTATCCAAAGCGACTTACAGTGCATTCAGGCTATAAATTTTTTACCAGTATGTGTGTATAACAAAATTATAAACGCAACACTTTTGTTTTTGCCCCCATTTTTCATGAG